GTTTTTTTTCGTTCTGGAGAGATTATGAATTTTATCATAAAAGTTTGAAGATTATGGGTGTATTGCAATTAAACTATCGGTTTTTCCAGAATAAATTTTTAAAGCCAAAACACAACCTCAAGTGTATCTGTGTACAAATTTCATGTTCTGAACACGACTGCATTGAACTGAACTGTGTAAAACTATAAACTTAATCTGAAATACAACTGATTCAGATTAAAAGCTGTGAAGGGTGTTTTTACTTGTGTGGTGGCACAGTGTCCTGGATTGGGCCTGAAGATCCAGGAGTGTTCTCCACTTCCTTCCTGTACTTTGACTTAATCTTTAAAGCTGACATAAGATTTGTTACGTGCTTACCAAAACAATTTTAAAAATTACTGACAAGTCTTCAAAAAATTCCAGAGAAACAGAATTTTTGCATCAATCTTTTTATTTATCAAGAAAAAAAGGCACCCAAACAAAATGACCCAAAGCAGAGTAACCTCTATCAAGCATTTTGTACTGAGATATTTCAAAAACATATTTTCACAATGAGTTACTGAGTGAATGTAAATGTGAGAAAAATGTAACTTTGAACACCTCTGAGGGTGCTTTAACACTCAATCAGAAAACAACTCCAAAGGAGCATATAAAGTAAATATATAATCTTTGTACTCATTTTTGTTCTGACACTAAACGATTGATATAGTAAAACAATTTTTTTCACAACAGTGTTTTCATAAAGCAGCAAGTTTAAAATACAAAGAAGCACAAACTGAAATGTTTCTTTACATCAACACATCTCATATTTAACCAAAATGCTTCCATGTAGTTGTACTTAAAAGCTTTAAATCAGATTTGGCATTTAAAGTTGCATCAGTGTTTTTCATTTTTGTAAAAAAAAAAAGAAAGAAAAAGAGAGAGAGATAACAGAGAAACTTTTATAATTTCACATAACAAAAACACTGAAAATAAGTTTATCTGCCTGTGACAAAATCCAAAAACTAAAACATGGTCCTTTAAACTATGACTATACATTTCTTGAAACTGTAAAGAATTGTAAGTGAAAACTATATTTAGATAGAACTTAGAGTTTAAATATAGACTGTTTACCATCATCCCTTTGTGCCAAATGTAAAAGAATAGGACTTACATGTAAGAGCCCATTTGGTTTTGCATAACAGAAAATCTCTAAACTCTTATTTTTTTGCAATAAAAATAAAATTTCAGCAAATTTAATTGTATTGTTTGTTTGTCTTGTTTTTCTTGCCTTTTAGTGAAATAATTTTTTCATGTAATAGCCGACTGTCCTCATTCCTCAGCTCCAGCCTTTGGTTTTGATTCACTGACACATTTCTTCCAGGCTTTTTATAGCTTCTTTTTTATTGATTTTATACCAGTCTCTAGGAATTTTTCCACGTTCCTCAAATTTATATCCATAGTGCTCGATCAGATCTTCTTTAAATCTACACACAAACCATTTCCAGTAGGACAGTTTGGACTCAKCAGGGGTGATTCTCCATGAGGCAAACCGTGGACCAGCAGTTCTKTAGTCTTTATAGGGAACAGTTCTGTCTGAACTGTCAGGATAAAAACCACCATCACTTGTAACCTTTGTTGTGCAGAACTCAATGCTGAAGATGTCTGTGTTTCTGTAGTGAAATCCCTTGACAGCACTGGATCGATGGAAAGGTACACTGTGGTCTTCAGGACTGTGATCTTCCAGTGTGTTGGTACAAACAGCATAACAGAACGGACATTTCACCCAACAGCACTTACACAGATGTTCAATCAGGATGTCTTGAGGCCTTTTTCTTGCTTTTCTCATTTCAGTTTGAGAGAAACTGTTGATTTGCTTCTTGACGGATTCAAGTTTTTCATTTGCTTCTTTCATGAGGAAGTCAAAATCATTTATGTCATCAAAGTCTTGAAAACAGGAACCATCGAATCTCAGCTCATCTTTGAGCTGACTGGATAATTCCTCCAGCCACATGTTTGTGTCTCCACCTTTAGTTTGRACTTTCTTGGATGCTGTAAAAAAAGCTTGACTCACAGTTGTGTTGATGTCTTCAAGATGTTTTCTGAATATATTCTCTGCTTTATCTCTGTGATCTGTGAAGATGTATTTCTGTACTTCTGCTTTAATAAAAGCCTCTGATTGTCTTTTTGGATGATGTATGTATTCAATGAAACTATTAAAGTCGTCTTTCTCAGTGAGTGATTTCAGCATGTGTTTCTCCAAGTCTAGTCTGTTCCCATTGAATGCTGGGAAAATACACTTCATTTCTCCAGCAAGAGCCACGGCTGTTTTARTATAAACAGCTTCAACCATGGATGTTTTCAGTTTTTCACTGGTCAGTTCAGCTAGGACTACAGCTGAGGAACTTCCTTCACAAAAGATCTTGAAAATGTTAAAATACTCTTCTTTCTTGCTTTCCAGATAAATGAGAGCGTCGTTGTTCTTCCTGAATTCCTCCTGAGAGTCCTGAAGCCATTTTTTGGCTAAGTCAAACACAAACAGGATTAGATCGATTTCAAACACCTTATTAAGCTGATACCCCTGATTGGACTCAAATATGGCCACTTTTTCTTTGACTAATTGGATCATTTCTTGCAAGTAAGTTGATTGATAGCCTCTTGTAGCAACAGGTTTTTCCTTGATTGCATTGAGGGATGTTTCTGCAGCGTTGGTAATGAGTTCCCTGATCTGGTTTTGGTCTTGATGAGACAGAYCGCTGTTGGAGTTCTGATTTTTTGATGACCAAAAGTTTTTAAAACTTGTGAACACTGAACTAACATTATTTTTAGGGTTTTCAATGTCTTTGTTTTTTCTCTCATCAGTTTCATCAAGATCTTGTTTCTTGTGAAATACAACATAGTGTTTGTAGTTTCCCATTTTGGAAATTCTTTTGTATGTTCCACTTGTTTTGTGTTCTTCTCTGAGTTTTTCTTCCACACCAATTTCTGTAAGGATAGTTAACAGGTCCTCCTCTAAGTTGATGTCCTCAACAGGTTTTGTGTCTCTTGTGAACTCAGTAACCCAGGTTTTCCAAACAGAACTGAATTGTTTTTGTAGTTCTTCATCRTCGTTGACTTTATCTTTTAGCGTCTGAGCGAGTTCTTTGCTCTTCTGAAGCAGTTTAGTCTCCAAGACTGTCTTATCATCGTCCATCTTTTTTCGAGTGCTCTTTTGTTCAATTACTCCATCCAGTTTTCTTTTAACTGTTTTCACCTGTTCGTCACAAAACTCTTTGATTTTACTTTCAAATTGACCTCGCCACTGAACCAACATTTCTTTCTCATTTTCATCCTCAAAGTACGTCATCATGGCCTTTTTAATTTCATCATATGTTTTGATTGTTTCTTTTTTGAGATATCTTGTCTCAACCTTGTTAAGGTCTCCATTTTCGATTCTGTTGTAGAGCTGGTTTTCAATGGTCAACATGTTGCTCCTGATGGTCCAGGTCCAGTTTCCATACTGAACCTCAAGTTTTCTGTACACTGCAATTTCCAGTGTGTTTTTAAAGCTGAAAACAAAGTTTTCATTTAGAAGTGCCTTCCACAGGTTCTGAATGTTTGCATTGAGCTGTGTAAGCTTGATCCCATCWGACTTTGATGCTTTGGAGAGAACAACACTTTTTAGTTCTTGGATGCTCTCACTGTAACCTGGATTTGGAGGAGCCATAGGTGGACTGCCTTCCCACAGCTGGGCTAAGTATTTTACATCTGTTTGGACGTCAAATGCAATAACATCACTGAAGCAGTCTGCATTGTAGTCCTCTTCTTTGGCTGCTAGTTGGGTCATTTGGTCAAGTTTTTCTTGCAGGCGTCTTCTTCCATCCATGTTTTTTTCTGCTGCTGCAACATCTGTTACATTCTGATGAACAAAAACACAACTTGGAGTAAGTTTGACTTTTTTCATTCTCATGAAAGCTTGAACAACAATCTGCAGAACATCTTGCATCTCGGCTGGATTCTCTCCAAAGATGTTRATCAACGTCATGTTTCCCACACCAACAACAAATGTTGCCAGTTCATTGTCATGTTGAAGAGACGTGTTTCCTCCCAGCTCAAGAGCACGCAGTCCTTCAGTGTCTACCACTAACACATAGTCAAACTTAAAGTCCTTCTTGATCTCAGCTGATATTTTGACCAGCTGCATGAAGGCACCTTTGGTGCACCTGCCAGAACTCACTGCAAACTGCAGTCCAAACATTGCATTCAGCATYGTTGATTTTCCACTGCTCTGTACTCCTAAAACTGACAGCACAAAAACTTTCTGGTCACCCAGTTTATTGATGACTTCCTCTAAAAGACTAGAGATCCATTTCAGAGGAACATGACCTGCATCTCCATCCAGCAGCTCCAGAGGGTGTCCAGAGATCAGCAGATYTGCAGCTAGTTTTGGGTACTTGGACCACTTCTCCTGTCTGCTGTTTGGGTTACATGTTATTTGAGCCTCATAGATCTGCCCCATTTCTCTGAAAATGTGCTCCAAGCCAAAAGTTGCAGATTGCAGCTTTTTYGATAAGGACTCAAGCTCAGCTTTCTTGGCTTTTAAAACTTCTGATTTGTTATGTTTGTTCTTCAAAGCCAACAACTCAGACCAGGTRTTATCATAACTTTGAAGAATTGAAGAAATATCATCTGTGGAGAGGGCATCTGTTAGAAYCTGAGTCCATTTAAGAAAATATTCTTTGTCCTTTTGTTGTAATGACCCAAGGCTTTCAGTGAACAACTTCATCAGTTCACTGCAGGAAACAGCACATTGTTTTTGTCGTATTTCCACCAGTTGTGCTTCTTTATTCGATTTCTCCATTTCAATGGACTGTCCTTTGAGATGATAGAGTTCTTTGTTAATTTGGCACCACTTGTGCCACAGTTGACCTTGACATGGAAGAAATTCATCTTTGATCTTTGWAACATCTTTACCCTGAAGCAAATCAGATATTTTCAAAGCAGGAATCTTTCCATTTTGACACATGGGGTTACTTTCATCCACTTTRATTCCAGAGACCTCAGCCATGGTTTCAAGCTGGAAGGATGGTTTCAAAATGGACGGATCTTCAGAAGACAAAACTTCTTGAATGATTCTTTTAAGTTCTCCAGATACATCTGACTGGCTTCTGTCTTTGAGTCCCATTTTATATTTTCCCTTCTTGGTTTCAACAGCATCACAAATCTCATCAACAATGAGACAAATCAGAGGCTTTTTCATTTTGAAGAGTGCTGTGATTATTGGCCAAATCCTGTCATCTTTTTGGAGCTTTGGTACCAGCACAACATTAACTGATGATTTTTCAATCAATATGTCTCTTTGTTTCTCAATCAATACACCATCACCATGAAGATTACAAAAGGCAATGCAGTCATTGAATATATCATTGGGTTTTCCAGCAGGGCAGTACCAGGCAATCTCTGCAACACCGTCCAACAAATGGCGAGATTTGGTGCTTCCATCACAGTTTCTATGGAAGAACGTGTCGTGGCGATCATTGATCAAAGAGTTCATCAGCTGAGACTTAGACACTGATAGTGAACCCAGACGGAAAAAAGACACCAAAGGTGTTTCAGCTTTGTAGATYGGGACACTTTTCATGGTGATATTTGAATCTCCTTTGACTATCTTCCATGTTTTTGTTATCTGTCTGAAGGCCCACAAAGGACACTCSGTCTCCATTTTAAATGGATCAGGAACAAGCAAAGGTAAGGCATACTGACACTGTGACAACTTTGTGATCATGATCTGCCTGAGGAAGCTGTCTGAGCAGTGAAATACTGCCATCTGAACATCCATTGGATGTACATGAGTCTGTTGTTGCTGATTTGTAGTTACATTGGTGTTCAGAAACTCCTCTAAATCATCTTCATCTGCTTCACTTGTGTCAGACATAGAAACAGGGTTTGGATCAGAGTCTTCAACACTGTCTTGTTTAACAGGAATATATCTGGCCCTGTAATCTAACATGAGTAACTTGTGAAGAAAAGAATACACCAAATCTTTTTCAGATGTGTCATGGCATGGTGTGATAGGTTGACTTAATTGAAGAAAATCAACTTTGGACAGCTTCTGGTAACATTTTTCCTGAAGATGAAGTCTGACAAACAAAGTTTCATTTTTCTCTTGTAGCTGTTTCTGAATAATTTCATCTGAACTCTTCAATGGCTGCTGCAAAATACAAAGGAAAAACGATATTTTAAAAACAAAATCATTTTATAGGACAGATTAAATGGTTCCTAATAATATGGAGGGAGGAAGTGGGGTTAGACATTGTTGGCATAATGGACATGTTTTTGACAGGGCTCCCACATAAACACAAAAAAGTGAGGTTTAGTTTTTTTTWMTTTTTTGCTCAACAAACCTTTAATTTATTTCTTCTTAGAACTTGTTCAAGTTTTTAAATCCATTTTGCACCAAGTGGCAAACTTCATATAAGCCTCTGGTTGTAATAAATTACTTTATGCACAAA